TTTTTTTTTTTTTGCCTAAACCTCACATAATCAAGCATAGAAACTCAGCTTCTAGGCTGTGAAACTGCTTTAGTTGGCTCTGCACTACGATGTCCACTTACAAAGATACCATGCAGCACAGCTCAGTGACTACACCAGCCAAGACTCCTCAGAACAAAGACAAGGCAGACATTGTGGACAGCAATGGCGCTAGGCTGGCTACTCAAGGGACAGGAACCACCCACTAAAGTCACTCTGCCGTATCGGCAGGCTAACAGTTACACTGAGCTGTAATTCTCTACACATGTAAGGAGAAATCCACCAGGAAGTTACATGCAATGGTGACATCCATCCCAGTGTGTGTAAGCCCACATATATTAAAGTTAGAAGAAGCAATCCTGCCTCAAAGGAGCCAATTTTGAGCCAAGAAGTGAAGCTGGAATTGTCTGCAGAAACACAGCCCTCATTATACAATATTGCATCACTATTGGGAAGCAACATTACCAAGAGCAACACTCCCAGCTTAAACGTTACTGTGTATCCTCTAGATGCAGTTCAAACATTTAACACCCCTTTTTCTGTCACATACCTGAGAGCATTGAGAAGACCTTCTACACTGTTAGGAGGTTGGTCCTTAAGAACTTTGATACAACCTTTCATCTGAGGAGAAAAGAAAAAAAAGTTAAAAAAAAGTAAATATCTACTTTTTAATATAACACTCATTTCAAACAAACAAAACTGAAATTGGAAGCTTAAGTATAGAACTGAAGAGACCATATACTAGGAATGCCAAATTATTCACTCTTGGTGGTGGGACTGCAGCAAATGCTATTATTTCCAGTCTCTCAGTGAGGCAAAGCTTTCTGGGAATGCAATCAGTCAAGATGAAGTTCCAGTCAGACTGATGAACTAAGGGCAAACACCCTGAAAAAGACACTGCACAGCAGTTGCTCTTTCCAGGGAAGATGAGTCTCCCAGGGAGCCGGTAAGGAGCAGAGGACAGAGAGGAATCCAGATGATTCAGGCAGGGCTAACTGACAGGCAATCAGAGGGGTCTTCAACAGACTACTCATAGGGAGAAAACCTCAACAAAGATGGTACTTCAAGATCAGCCTGGGTGTCATGAAAACCATGGCAGCAGAGACCGAAAGAAGAGATGTGGGGTGAGCGTCATGCTCGACCACTGCCTACAATGCTATCACTTAATCTCCTGAAGCAAAGCTGCCCCCTAGAAGAGGAAATCCTAGGAGGATGGTCACAGGCACATGGGAGCAATGTAAAGATTCTGGGACACAGTTACCACACAAGGAAACTAGTTTTCCTTTATATAAAACGAACACATATGCAAGCTAGCAATCCATAACTCAGATCTACAAAGAAAGAGCTTGAAGTGGTAACCAAGGGGGAGCTACCAGATAATAACCACCGAACACTAGTTAGAAGGCTGGTGTTCAAGAATGACCACAAGAACTACAGGTAGAGAAATGAGAAAAACATTTTCTTTTTAATAGGGACTTCCAGGCAGATAGGGAAAGTAGAAAGCAGTCACAAATGGTTATGAACGGGGAAGGGAAAGAAAAACACAACCTTCTGCTTTCCTGTAAAAGCACCAGGGCCAACTTTTAGTATACAACCCAAAATAAACCTTATCTTTGGTTATTTACCAATGGATCTGATTAGAAAAGTTATGTAATTATTAGAGATCCTACAAAGAAATACAACATCATTCAATCACCTATCATTCAATCACTTAGCACACCTGCACACTGGACAGCAAACAAGACAGTGGAGAAGCAGCAGCAATCCCAGCTACATCATAGACTACGGTCAGAGTCTGTGAGTGCAGCCTGCTACTCTTTAAACTAAACCTTATGCATCAAACAATACGCAACTTACATCAATTTTGGAAGTTTTGGCAAATGCTCCCACTGGATGGACGTGGTCATAGAGTATTATGACACCCACCATTACCCTCAAGCAGAACGATACTGTCTCTTCGTTGGTAAATCTGCTCCTGTATTCCCTGCAGGACAGAGATTTGTACGGATGAGGCACATCACAAAGTCTTCAATGAACTGATCACACCTGCACTTGGTACTACTTAGATCTCAGAAAGGGACACCAACGTTACCCCTTTTCCACAAGCCCCTAGGGAGAGGAAACAGATGTGGTAGGGACAGGGATGAACCCCCTACCTACTGTAGTTTCCACATCTGTACCCCGGGTATTACAATACCTCTTCTACAATGCTAGAGAAAGCAAAAGCAGCCTGAGGCAAGAGTCTGGGGACGGGTGCTCAGCAGTGTGAGAAAAGTCACAGGCTTAACGCAGCAGCAAGCTTGTCATTTCATGGCTATCTTGAGCTCAACCCACTATTACATTACAGGATTCAATCGTATTTTCTCACTCAAAAACATTTTAAAAAAGGAAATAGAATTATGATCTGTAAGAAAGCATTGTGGGATGGCAGCACTGGACCCAGAGTGGGGACACTGTAACCCAGCAGAGGGTGGTCGGGGTGG